GTGTATGTGTGTGTATATATATATATATATATATATATATATATATGTATATGTATATGTGTGTGTGTATAATATTATAAAGAATCATTTTTGCAGTAATGCTTAATCTTTGAAATGAAAAAAAAAAAACTTGGACACTAACATGAGAACTGTTGTGTGTCAGGGCTGGTCATGGATGGTGGTGGGTACCTGTGTTTGTAACATGTGTGGGTGCTCTCCTGGGCTCTTTACTCTATGAGCTGCTGATCGGAGTTCATCATCCAGACTCCGAGCCAGAGGATGCTGAAGGCCTGACAGCGGTGCTCCAGCAAACTGTGGAGCTGGACGGTATGCAGACAAAGTTTGACACCATTAAAGAAAACGACAACGATGGGATCTTTTCCATAACTCCAGCAGATATCAGCTAAAGTGAAAAAAATCCATCAACCGAATGATGGAACCTGAATTGCTACTATGTATATGTTAAATGCATTTAATTTAAGGATGATTGAGTTAATAATATTAAAAAGTTATCTTTTTTTGTATATGAACTGGGTGATCTTCTACATCTTGTAACTTGGATTTTTTTATAGGTTTATTAATGATCAAATATATCACCAATGACTTTGTAAAACCTTGCAGGGTCTCTGACGTCTTAAAATAAATTTCTGTTTAAAATAACGTAGCACAGTATCTACATGATACACTGTCTTAGCTACCGTTGAATTGCTGTTCAGTAAATTCAACAGAAATATAGTACTTTAGATTTAGATTTTGTTAGCAAAAATCATGTACTCAGTTCTGGCTCTAATGAAGTGGCAAGACTTTATATTATTTTATTTGTTAACATTAAGATGAATCATTTCAACAAGTTTTGTAAAGTGTTACCTATTAAGTTTCTAAGAATGTTCACCTCTCACGAGTTTTAGAAGTATTTCCATCAGTAATTGCACTGGATTCAGTGATATTTGCATAATGAAACCGCATTACACTAGTGTTTATGTTCCCAGCATGCACTGGGATATGAATCATTAAGGACACCATGATCTGTACCGTACCAATTTACTGTTTTATTTATAAAGAAGGGCAAGATAACTGACACAGATGTACGGCAGTGAAACAGGCAAGTCATCACAGAATAAGATGGCTGTCTATAGACTATGTGTGGGACATATACATATATTACTGGAGGAATAGGAAGTCACACTCACACAGATGATTCACACGATCACAATATTATTTTTAAGAAATGTGGTTTTTGACAAGCACAGAACTTTCTGATAGAAAAGACTCTTATCAAAGAAAAAAAAAACACAAACGACATTCATATTTGTACATAATTCATCATAAAACACACAAGCAATCCTTCAAACTCAATGCCAATTTCCGATTCAGATGAAATCGTTAAAATTACACCAGGCTCCGAATGCAAACTTTCACTAGTAGTATTTCAATATCGACTTTAAGCTAAGGAGAAAAAAATACAAAGACTGAACTTATTCACATTTCCAAATGCAACAACCATATCAAACTGATGTACTGCATTTATACACACATAAAATGTGCTCAAGTGTATCTGTGACTGAAATGTATCCATGTTAACTTATATTGACCTTTTTTGACTATTTTAACTTTACAATCCATCTTTGACCTCATAAACATCTGCTGTATATCTCCTTGCACAAATGAAACTTTTTCACCTCACTTAAAGTTCAATGATTATCAAAAGACTGATGAATGCTTCAATATAAATAAATATCAGTACTACAATGTCTGTACAATACTGTTACATTTAAAAGTCAGTGTTTTCCTTTATTGACAAAAAAAAAAAAACCTTCACTAGCACCCTTTTTGCTTAAATGCTTTTTGTGGATTGACGCAAAACCCAGCATACGCCAAACAGCTCGATCGCTGTAAAGTAGTTTTCGAGCAGATACAATTTGACCTTGTGTAAATTCATTTAAGACTGTGGATGTTGCAAACAGGGTGGAAAGGGGGAAATAACTTTTAATGTCTTTGTATTTTGGAAGACAGATCACGTTACAATCATAACGACATAAACATTTTCCAAGTTATATGTATTAATCTTAAACTCGTCTTGGATAATCCAAAGCTGTGACACATTTTGTAACGGCTTGTCCTTGTCTTGTCCTGTCTCACTCGTTTCTACAAGGGCTTGTCGGTCCTGTGCGCCGTGATGAAGGCCATGCCATGTGTGCGGAAATGAGTGCTAAGGTCCGAAGCCTTGTCGAAGCGCCGGCTGCACACCCTGCAGCTGACCCCCCCTTCCCCTTCCTCGCCCGCTTTAGGTGAGGACGGAGAGTCGTCCTGCGACGACGCGCCAGGTGATGCGTTTCCGCCACGATTGTCATGCTGACCTTGGCGTAAACGGTGCGTGATGAATTTGTGTCGGCTGAGGGAGCCGGCTGAGGCGAAGCAGGCGCCGCACTGCAGGCACTGCTGCGGCGAGTTCTCCGCGTCACAGTGGACGGGAATGTGGTGCTGGAACTCTTCCCAATCCTGTGTGGTGAAGCCGCAGGGTGTGCAGCGGAATGTGCCTTCGTCTTCCTCCTGCTCGAGCGGCCGGTTCTCAGACTCTCGAGTTCTTTTGGCGTCCTCTCCTGCGACGTCATCAGTATCGGCGCCGCCTCCTATAGGTGGAGCTCCACCCTCATTGTCGAGCTCAGACGAGCTGCCTGCCCCGTCACCCGGAAGCGAACGCTTTCTGGTGTTTGGAGCATTCTGGGAAAAGAAATTGAAATTAATATGTGCATAATCAAATGTCTCTGAACTCTAAAGAGGTGGAGTGCTCAAACTGACCGGTCTGTCTGTTGTTTGTCGAGCTCTGATGCCATGTCTGACCCGAATGTGCTTCTCCAAAATCAGACGACTACTGAACGTACGCTTGCCCTCTGAGCAGTGCCTGAGGAGAGCAACATATGCAGAATTAGAAGGGCAAACTAGACAAATAAAGAATCCTTTTTAGCAAGGAAAAGAAAGAATCAAATAAATTTGTGGTTGATGAACGTTTGACTCACGGGCAGCGGAAGACTCTCTTGACACCCTCATGTATTATTCGGACATGTCGACGAAGGCTATTGGCTGAACTGAAGGAACGTTCACACAATCTGCAGGGGAACTTCTTCATTAACTAGAGAAACAAACAAACAAAGTAAAAAAGACAGGCATATCACAAATTTGATAAACTAAGCATGTGTATGTTTTGTGTAAACTTGTGTATGTTTTTAAGAGTACCAACCTTGCCGTGTTCGTTCTTCATGTGATCGATGTAGTCCTCTCTTTCAGCATAGCGTTTCTTGCACTCCTTGCACCTCCACTCCATACTCCCGCTTTCTGGAGAGCTCGCCTGATCTTCCTCCTCATTCTCCTCCTCTTCTCCCTCGTCTCTCTCTTCCCCTTCATGCTCTCCCTCCTCCTCTTCCCCCTCCTCGTCCTCCTCCCCCTGTCCCTGGCTCAACTCATCTGAATTGTTTTCAGTGGGTTTGGGCTTAGAGCTGGAGTTGCTGGCAGGAGCTGACACCGGAGATGAGGTGGTGGGCGGAGTCTCTGTTTTGACGGACAGGCCTCTATGAGCAGTCTAATGGGAAATATTGAGAGACAGCTCTGGTTAAAAGCATGAGCGTGACTGACAGGAAAATGTGACAATTCACACTGTGGTGGCTGTTGTACTTGGTATGAGCTTTAGACAAGGTGATACACAGAAATCACTTTGTAAATGCCAAACCAAGAATCTTAATGTATGCCTTTGCTGACACCACATTCTTTAGGGGAAGAGAAAAGAATGGGTAACACAAAAGGCAAAATAACAATTAATTAATTTAAAACTTAAACAATTCATATTCTCAAATGCACTCTATATACTGAATAATAATAATAATAAAATAATAATAATTGTTTTTATTATTATTGAAGTTGTTTATATTATCTAATAATGTAATGTTATTATTATTAATAAGGTATTTACCTTGATGTGTTCCATCATGGACCCTTTCTGGGCATAAAGTTTAGTGCAGTCTGGACATTTGAACACATGCACCTTCTGTTTGGCCAGGTGAGTGTCAAAATGCATGTAGAGCAAAGGTTTCTGGGTGAACACTGTGTCACACATGACACACTTGTAGATCATCCTGTAGAAATAATATAATAATATATTCAGAGTTAAAGGATGTTTGTTTTTTTCAAACAAAATATTAGGCACTAATCACGAAAAGCTGTGTGTGATGGGTCAACCTACTTAGCCTGTGCAGCTGTGAGGGCAGGATGCTGGGAAGTGATGTGCCCCTGTGCGCTCTGGGCAGATTTGAAGGCCATCGGGCAGTTGGGGCACTTATGAAATACCTCACAGTGAGCTGTTTGTATGTGGGACTTGATGGAGTTCAAACCTCCGAACACAACCTGACAACTGGAGCACCTGGAATAAAGGATGCAAATTTGAGCACATGCAAGTATAACTAAGCAATTTCTTCTATTTCCTTGCAGGAAATCTCGCAGATACCCTATAAAATACAGCTGCGAAGCAACGAAACTGTCTGCAATATCACAAAACACTGATAGGAAATTAAAGGCCAGGAACCTGTAGCCGATGCGTCTGGCAAAGTGCAGGCAAGACTCTTCCAGATGGGTTTGAAACGTGGCCTGACGAGCAGTGCCACCACACTCTGGACACACATGGGGTGCGCGGTGCTTATGGATCCGCTGATGGGCTGAAACACTGCACCAGTTAGGCAGCATCATGGGGGGAGAGCAAAGCATACAAGTCTGAAAGAGAAAGACAGGAGGGACAACATAAAGGAGTTAGTAAAGCAATTTTTTTACTTATACATAAACTTACACATTACAGATGCTGGGCATCATTTAAGAAACAGCAGAATGAATGTGTAAAATGTTTGTGAAAACTATGTAATATCATTCAATAAAAACAGCATTCAATGCAAAAATTTACTTTTTACAACAATTTTCAAATTAGCATTAAACAAACGTCTGTGCATGAATCTTCCATTTAGTCATTTTATAGTTAATTTCTAGCAATTATTGCAAACTAAAATATTTGGAGAAAATTATTTGGAGAAAACAGATTAATTACATTTTTTAAATAAAACAAATATATAGTTTAGTCATGAAACTCTAGATGGCACATGCGGACTGATGTTTTGTTAACATAACTGATGATATTCAGAGAGTTAAACGATTTGGCACAAACTGATTGGTTCATGATGCATATGCAGCCAATGAGCTTACTGCCTTGCATTTATATGGCTGGCTAGCATTCACTAGAGATTCCTGCAGCGCGCTTTCAGAGTTTCTCTGAAACCCTCCACCTTCCCCAGCTCCACCTGTATAGATCTGCTACAGGTTAT